TACACTGACACACCAAAGGGATTAAAGTTATCACTTTCTAAATTACCATTGCAAAGCAACATACTTATGCCTTTGACATAGTGAGAACTGATTACATGTAACTAGTTATTACTCAATAGTTTGTCTCCAAGCACTGTTCTCAAGTTTAAATGCAAATGCTCTGCAGAAGCATCTGAGAGCCCTGTTGATATTGGAAAGGAGGCAAAGATTCGAGGGATTCAGAGCCTAGGTCTGGAAGCGATTCAGTGCTAGAAATTCTTGCTGTTCCCTCGAGAGACAGAGGGACGCCATGCACTGCAAATCTACAACAGCTGTTTCCATAATCTGTGCATCACAGGGAGGAGGAATTCAGTTTCATGTTCAAGCTGCCCTGCTCTGCAAGACTACCCACTAGGTCAAAATAAAACTGTGCACCACTGTATGCCTTATCTGAGTATGGGAACGCTGTCAATTGCAGGGGGTGGGATTCATATTTTTCCATCTGTTGTTCTATCTCTTAGCTTCAAGGAATGGCAGGAATGGGAGAGGAGTGTAGCAGTGTAGTTGCAGGGGGAAGGGGAATGAGGGCATTGGCTATTCAAATAACAATGAAAATTTCAGAAATCTTTTTGTTGCTGTTGCAAAAATGAAATGTTGCCCTAACTTAAAACTTCTGTTGAGCATTTAGAAGTACATTTTAGGCATCCAAAGAAAAGCATCAGGCAAAGATACCAAGGGAATGCAGATTCAGCAAACATTAACAGTTCTAGGTGTGCATGATTTTTATGATTTCACGCTGTGCAGTGCTACAAATTTGGGGACTGAAGGAAAATTTCATTTTGGGGCCAGATCTCTCTCTCTTCACTATTTATGGATAAACATTTCTGTTAACATACGACAGCTTTCTTGAATCTGGTGCCCTCCAGATGTGTTGGTATACAACACTCCTGAGCATGCTGGGGTATTGTAATCCAACACATCTGGAAGCCATTACTTTCTGGAAAGTAAATGCATGGCAAAGTCCTATTATGGTACCATTATAGGACTTTAGAGCAAGTCTGAGGAACCTGTGGTCCTCCAGATGTTGCTGGAGTGCAGCCTCAGATTGGCTGCTAGTGAAAGGTGATGGGAACAGACATTCAGCATCATTTGAGGGAGGCACTGGTTCACCAACCTAGCTTTATAATTCAGAGTGCTTTACATAATGAATCCTGACAGCTGCCTTATAAGAAGATTCCACTTGTAAGAATCAGAAAGAAAATATTTACTTGAAATCTTCTTTCATTGTTTACCCATGCCTGAAGTAGCCAGAGCTTGGGAAAACTACATTTTAGAACTACTAGGAGCCAACAGTCCTTCAGGTCTATGGTGATTTGAGAGGCATCTACCCATGTTGTATGCAATTTGTGTACTGGATTCTAGATTTTGTAAAAACAACATATATAAGAATCCAAATCCTTATCTTAATTGCCACAAAACCTATTGAAGGATTAGCATGGAAGTTCCTTCTGATTGTGGTTACATTGAAGTACAGTCAGCCCTCCATATCCACAGATTCAACCATCCACATCTTGAATATATATATATATAAGTTCCAAAAAGCAAACCTTCATTTTTCATTATATATAAGGGACACCATTTTGCTATGTCTTTGTGTTAACTGGTACATGAGCATCCATGGAGCTTGATATCCACGGTGTGTGTGTGTCTGGAAACAAATCCTTGTGGATAGCAAGGACCCACTGTATTATCAGGTCCTATCCTAAGTAAATCATACTGTAGATAAACTAATGTCATTTTAAATTGATGTTAATGAATGGAGGATGCCATCACCTAGAGCAGACCTGCACAACTTGGCAGTAGGTAAGGGCCAAAATTAAAATATGCTAAACTTCTTGGGGCTGCAGATAGGTTTTGATTAAATACTAATTAATTAATTCTATTAATTAACTTTAATAAATAATATTAATTAGAATTAATTAATATTAATCCCATTCTCCTCATCCTCTGCCCCGCCCTCTCCTCAGGAGAAAACTGAGAGATGGAAGAGTCTTGACTGTCCTCCTCCACTCAGACTTCTTGGGAGAAGGCCAAGCGATGGAGGAGCCTTGAGGGGTGAGCATTTGCTCCTCTTTCTTATCCATTGCCTGGCCTTTTCAGGAGAAAGCTGGGTGGAGGAAGAGTCTTGCAGGGTGAGCGTTTGCCTGTCCTCTTCTCCACCACCTGGTCTTCTCCTCAGGAGAAAGGAGAGTGGCAGCGGAGCCTTGCAGGGTAAGCATTTGCCTGTCCTCCTCCTGCATCACCTGGCCTTCTCCTCAGGAGAAAGCCAGGCAATGGAGGAGCCTTGAGGGGCAAGCATTTGCCTGTCCCCCTCCTCCACTACCACCTGGCCTTCTCCTTGAGAGAAAGCTGAGCAATGGAGGAACCTAGCAGGGCATGCGTTCCCCCATCCTCCTCCTCCCACACATACCCTCTCCCCAGGAGGAGGCTGAGTAGCGGAGGAGCTTTGAAATCGTTCCACATCCTCGTGGGCCACCCAAAATCCTTTGGTGGGCCACACGTGGGCCCCGGGCCATATGTTGTGCAGGCCTGACCTAGAGTTATAGTAATACATGATTGTTGGCCTATAGTAGGCCTGAAATCTGTATGAACATGTTATTCACTGAGATGGCTGCAATCAGTCATACACCTTCCCCATGTAAACAAGGAGCATTCCTCAACCCTGATGGCTCAAGATGAGTTAAGACTGCAACTTCCACTGTCCTCAGCCATGAGTGAGGTAGAAGCTGTAATCCAATCAATTTCAACACAGAAGGGCAAGTTGAGGAAGGCAACTGAGAACATACATGTTACAAAGCACCAATCTGAGTGAAGGTAAAGTGTGAGATTGCAGGTGTAAAGGTATCTTCAGAAGGCCTGGAGACGCTAGTTCAGGGGTAGGCAACCTTTCCCCTTTAAGGGCTGAAGCTCCCAGAAGCCTCAGCCATGTTGGCCAATAGTCCCATGTTGGCGAATAGCTCCTGGGATTCTGGGAGCTGAAGTCCCTCGGACCTTAAAGGGGAAAGGTTGCCTACCCCTGCACTAGTTCTATGGCTTTAATCTACCAAAACAAGCAAGCCTACAAATGAATCAGAAAATGTTTTCTGGGAATAAATGATGGCTTCCAATTCAGAACAGCTATTTTTCTCCAGCCTGTACTCTCTGATAAAGAAATATTTTCTCTATCAGAGAATTGTGCTGCTCACAGGCCACATTACACATGAAAGCCATCTGTGATGCTCCTGGATATCTACCTCCTCATCTTTTTAAAACTCCAAACCACAAAATCATGCTCATCAGGAACACAATTCTGGCTAAAGTAAGGTGACTACTACATCCTGTTTTAACAAAAAAAGAAAAGAAAAATCCATTTTTTTTTTTTTGTAAAAAAAGAAATCAGTCCTGGTTTTCCTATGTAGGATCAGGTATGGTCTGCAAGCATTAGAGAGGGAGATAGGGCAGGTGCAGTCCCTGTGATCCTCCATGATGGCTCAGCCTTGAGTCAGAGCTTGGAAGAATTCCTTTTTTGGACTACAGATCCCAAAATTTGAAGACCTGTAGTCTGAAACCGAAACATTTCCAAGCTATGCTTCTTCAACCCATCTCATCTCTCTGATCATGCTTTTGTGTATGACCTGCAACAGTTCATAGGCACATCAGAAAGATGCTTTAGGGAGGCAGGGAGAAAAGCAGCTATTCGAGAGTGGGCTTAATCAGATAGCCACTGAAGGTGATGTAGATGTCCACATCATCACTGTAGATGGCATTGTCGCGCTCACGCTTGTAGAGGCGCACCCAGACCTCATCGTTCTCCCGCAGTTCTAGCATCAGGCTCTGGCTTTGCATGATGCTCCGGTCACTGGGCTGGGCATAGAGGATGACCTCCTCCTGGTCATTCCGCATCACATGCATGTAGGTCTCCTTGAAGTTCCAGGTGTGGACATTGAGGCTGAAAAAGTACAAGCCAGCCACATAGCAGTAGAACTTGCCCTTAAACATATCAAAGTGGCTGTAGAGGTTCACAAAGACAGTGTCGAAGATCAAGGCCTGGTAGCCCTCACTGCTGTGGAGTGCCTTCTTGCGGCCGACTGAGAAGGCTGCATATTGGTGCTTGCAGGGGTCCCCTGGGGCCCCCATCTGTCCCTTGCTGCCCTTTGGGCCCTGGGCTCCCCGTTCACCTGGTGGACCTTCTTTGCCCCATTTCCCAGGAATTCCAGGTTCTCCTTGATCACCTTTGTCTCCTGTGAAGAAGGAAAAAAACAAAAGGAAGACTGGGTGATGTCTCAGGAGCACTATCAAATCAGGATCCAGCAACTTCCATATGAGGAAAAGGTTACAACACTGGGATCCTTTTAGCTTAGGAAAAAAGTGAATTAGGGGCTAAAATGATAGAAGTGCATAAACTTATGTATGGTATAGAGAATATGGGCACAGAGAAGTTTTGCTCTCATACACACATAGTACTATAACTCAGGGTAATCTACTAAAGCTGATTGGTGGGAGATTCAGGAGAAAGAGAAAGAAGTACCTCTCCACACAGAGCATTGGTGAACTATGGCATTTGCTGCCACAGGATGTAATGATGGCCATCAACCAGGGTCAAACTAGATATGTTTATCATGTCTCTTGCAGAAGTACTCCCTCAAGTGGTGAAAGACATATGTTTTTCATACCACATGATTTTCCTTATCTCTGTATCTTACATTTAACATGCTTTACTTTGTGACTGATCATTGGAAGGTAAATTGGGACTTAATTTACAAATCTGATTCTGAGGGGTGTATCTCTGAGGAACTCCAGTTGTGGGAGGGTTAATTGTAAGGAATACACACTCCCCTTGAATATCTAGTTTGATCCTCAGATGACTTTTCAAGGGGATGGTTTCACAAATTCAAGGAGAAGCTATTAGTCATGTCAGTGATAGACTGTCACTAATATTAGAGACAGTATAGCTTTGGTTATTACTTGCTACTTGCTAGAGAGCCAGTGTGGTGTAGTGGTTTGAGCACTGGACTATGATTCTGGAGAACAGGGTTCAAATTCTTGCTCAGCCATGGAAACCCACTGGATGATGCTGGGCAAGTCACACTGTCTCAGCCTCAGAGGATGGCAATGGCAAACCCTCCTCTGAAGAAACTTGCCAAAAAAACCCATTATAGGTTCACCTTAGGATCACCATAAATCAGAAATGACTTGAAGGTATTCAGCAACAACAAACTACTTGCCAAGGAACAGAAGTGGAAGGATACTATTGTACTAATGTCCTTGCTTGTGGGTTTCTCATGGGCATTTTTCATTGATCAATGTAAGAACAAAATACAGATTGGGCAGGCCTTTGGCCTGATTCAGCAGGGCTCTTTTTAACTTCTCCTGCCTTATCTGGGTGGCCTGGGAGCCCTGCCTCACAGTGTGTTTCCATACCTGTGTAGCATCCTTGATAGCCATGAATCAGAGCAGCCGCAAGGGAGATGGGCACTAATGCTGGATATGTTGGAAAGCAGCTATACTCAAAACACAGTGAAATGTTTGGAAAGCCTTGGAGAAAGACTGCTGCATCCAAATAAATCATATAGTAGCACTATCTACAGCTTTTCTACAGTGAATCACACACATCACCCACCTATCTATTTTGCAAAGGTGCTTTACATCTCGCCTAAAGGAGGTATTGGGGAAGTCTTGGGGTCCTGGGCAGGTCTTGGGGTACTGGAATTATACTGAGCCTTTGCTTTTCCACTTATAAATGGTGCGACCCCCTGAGATTTCAATGGTTTGACTACAGCAGCTTGCTGCCCCATAGTGCTCTCCAGATAGGTCAGATTGCAACTTCCATCATCCCCAGCCAGCATGACCTTGGTGGGACTGACACATTTTGAGGGCACCAGATTGTGGAAGTCTCTACTGAATTTATAATCAGCTCTGAGAAATACAGACGTAACAGCAAAAAGAAGGTGAGGGTAAGGCAAAGACTATAGAGGATTGCTGTGCACTTACCCTTCAGAATAGTGATGTTGATATATGGACGCACCTCTGGCATTACATAAGGTGAGGAGTGGGGACGTGTGCCAGGATGGGGCTCTGATGGAGGGACGTCCAGTGAATCACAGCAACGCTTGCAGCCTCTCAAGGTGGTTGCAACTTCTTGGGGGCCAGATTCATCAGTGGGAGCTCCAAATACCAACAGTGGGAGTATGAGGAAGGCCAAGGGAACTTGCAGCCAGGTGGCTTCCATAATGAACTGTTGGGACAAAACAAGGAAAATATCAGGAGGATGAACATGAAGATGAGGAACTGAATAGTGGGGCTGCTATGTCTTGATTCTTTGAAGGAACAGGGTAACGAAGGGCAGATGGATAGAAAGAAGAGAGGCAGAATCCATTCCACAAAGAGTCTACATAAATATATCATATCACATCATCATCATCTAATTCTCACATTTTGAAACCATGGTCCAAAACACGCTGCAGAAAACCCCCAGTTTGAGACCGCTTTCCCTGTCCTGGCTCAATGCTAGGGAATCCTGGGAACTAGTTATGGCACAGGAGCTCTCTCACAGAGAGGGCTAAATGTCTCACAAAACTATAGTTCCCAGAATTCCCTAGCATTGAGGCAGGGCAGTTAAAGTGGTATCAAACTGGATTATTTCTGCAGTGTGCTTTGGACCTGTTTCTGGATGTTTCCAATGCTAAATGAAGAAGACCTACATTTTTTAAAAAAAGTTATTTTTTAATGATGGCAAGGCGGATGGTGAGAATTCTTCCAGTATAGGTCATGCTCTCCTAACCAGGCAGGCCTCCAGATGCACTGTACTACAATTCACATCAAACTCACCCAGATGGCTTGGGATAATAAATAGGAATTGTGGTTTTCCAGCTCATGTGAAAGGTGTGGGTGTTTTCCTTCCACCATAGATTGTAGATGACTGGTCTGCAGTGGCACAGGTCATTGTGTATAGCAAGGGTCAGCAAGTTTTTCTTACCTGGGGCTGGTCCGCTAGCCTCCAGGTCTTCTGCGGGCCAAGGGGGGGGGGAAATGGCAGCGCGCACGCTCATGCGCACACGCACGGCCTCCGCCGCCCCTGCACACGCTGCTGCCGTGCCACCACCGCATGCTTCGCAGCCGGCATTTTGTTTTCCAAAATGGTGGCCGCGACTCATTTGCACATGCGCACTACTCCTGCACATGCACGAACGAGTCACAGCTGCCATTTTGGAAAATAAAATACCGGCCGCAACATGCGTGGCAGCAGCGCGGTTGCAGCTTGCATGGCGGTGGCGGGGGTTGTCGTCATCAGCGGGGAGATCAGCGGGGGCCGGTCCAAAGGCCTCGGGGGGCCGGACTCGGCCCACGGGGCGTAGGTTGCCAACCCCTGTTGTATGGTGACAAATGCCTCTCTTGGATGTGCCAGTCACTAGATGGTGCTGCCACATTTGCAGTCGATTCTTTGACGACGTAAATGAGACAATCAACGATTTTCTCAAGATTGTCAGAAAAGTCTACAATAAACTTCTCACTCAGACCCAGAAAGTCAGATTAGAGATCTCTGACTGGATTTATCCAAGATCTTTTTTGCTGTCTTAAAAGCATCTATGGAGAGTGGGGAAGGTGGCTACATAGGAACCGCATCAATGGTCACAAAGTTTCTCCATTTAACACACACTCTCTCAGCCTCGGAGGAAGGCCATGGCAAACCTCCTCTGAACAAATCTTGCAAGAAACCCCCATGATAGGGTTGCCTTAGGGTCGCCAGAAGTCAGAAATGACTTGAAGGCACACAACAACAACAAATCTCTGGTTTAAAACTACTGTACACTACTATTAACTGTGAAATGGGTGGGTGGAGCAGGATATGTGGATACTTGGACTTCTATTCCCTCTGGGGCCCATTTGAGGGGTTTCAGACTGCCAGAAATAGTGCAAATTGAGTCCACTTTTAG